CCTGGAGAGGTGGCGAAACATCTTCAAATCTTGGAAACCAGGTCCAGTGGATATTTTTTGAATTTTTACGGAATGACTATGACCTGGATGACTGAGAATCTTTATCAGCATATTAGTAGATACACATCACGAATCACACTCCATTCCAGTAAGTGGCACTAATGCTACTAAAAGTTTGTTGCCAACTGCCAATAAATCCAACAAGAAGAAGAAAGCATACCTGTCAAGTTTTTCAAATTGAAAGTAAGGGAAATTTAACAACATCCGCTGTACGACTATCCCGGTCATACTTCAGTATCCATTATATTTTAGGAGATGTGCTCAAGAAATCTAAAATATACACTTCTAACCAATTACAAACTACAACAAGTTGATTTGATTTTAACTTGCGATTCTAGTGACAGCTCTGTTTGGAGAGGTTGGTCAATGTCTTTTTTTTAAAGAATTTTAAGTAGGCTGGATTTCCTATGTTTTATCTAACTGTACAATGATTAATCTCTGGCAAGAGCATCCAGGATTAAATTCCCTGCATGGAGTTTTTCTATATGGATATCAATTCTCCCCATTGATGCATAAATTCTGTCTTGGTACTTTGGCCTCCTCTCAGAGATGTTAAGTCAATTTACCTAAACTACCTTTGATTGTGTGTGTCTTTGCATGGTTGTCTATCCTGTGTCTCTGTGTTCCCCTGTTACAGACTGGAGATTTGTCCAGGACTTCTTTGGCGACAACTGTCTTTATTTACAACCTGCTGGTTGATTAGCAAACAAAAGTTCAAGTTATTGTTTATTAGACCTGCTGACTGAGAAGATAGGCAGCAATTTAATGTGCTGTCATGGGTAATAAACAAGCCACTATTACTAATGTATAACTTGATCCATATATAGTATGGTATTTCCCTAAAGTCTGTGACATATAAGCCTCTGGCTTTAAGTTTCTAAAGGGAATTGAACACAACCTAAAAAAATACACAGCACTTCATCCAGATTGACAGTATATTGAAACAAAGATTCAGTTTCAAATGGTTTATTTTATATAGTGTTAATCACAACATCTGTCTAGTCTATATTTCACACACACACACACACACACACACACACACACACACACACACACACACACACACACACA